GGGGGGGGGGGGCGGGCGGGACTAGCGGGCGAAGGCGACGGGCGCCTCGTCGACGACGAAGACGCCGTTTCGCACGTTGTCGAGGCACTCGCTCACGATCTCGATCATGACGTCGAAGTCCTCCTCCTCGAAGAGGAGGGGCAGGCGCACGTCGAAGGCGCGCGAGATGATGTCCGCCGTCGCCGGCAGCCCGCAGTCCGGCTGGGGCCCGTAGCGCCAGTTCTTGAAGTTCCGCGCGTTCGTCTTCGCGCCGAAGCGCTCGACGGGCAGGCCGCGCGCCTCGCACTGGGCGATGAAGGCGTTGGCCCCGGCCTCGAGGTCGTCGCCGAAGACGGCCGCCTCGACGTTGAACTGGACCGAGTCGCCGACGATCGTGACCTCGTCGCGCTGGCTCTCGACGGACACGCCGGGGAGCGCGTCGAGGCGCGCGGCGATGCGGTAGTAGCGCTCGTTGTAGACGGCGCGCCGCTTCTCGATGGTGAGGATCTGGGGCCGGAGCATGGCCGCCGTCGCCTCGTGCATGCGCAGCGAGAAGTTGGGGATCGACCCGTCCATCGCCACATCCAAGGCCGCTTGCGACGGGCACCGCTCGTGCTTCTTCGCGAGGACCTCGTATGCGCCGGCGTAGGCCATGGCCTTGGCGAACTTGAAGTCGTCGTCGCAGACGAGGAAGCCGCCCTCGCCGGAGTTGAGCATCTTGTAGCTCTGCGACGAGAACGCCGCCATGGACCCGTGGTGGCCCGTGTGCGCGCCGTTCCACAGCACGCCCAGGCTGTGGGCGCAGTCCTCGAGGAGGACGACGCCCCGCGCCTCGCAGGCCTCCCGGACCTCGTCCATGGACGCGATCTTGCCCCGCATGTGCGACACGATGAAGTACTTGGCGTCCGGGTGCGCGTCCATCTTCTTGATCAGGTCGGGCACGTCGACGACGTAGCCCGGCGTCGTCTCGACGTAGACGGGCTCGCAGCCCGCGTGGACGATGGCCGAGGGCACGGCCGTGAACGTGAAGCCGTTCGTGAGCACCTTGTCGCCGTGTTCGGCGCCCGCGCACTTCAGCATGAGGAAGATCGCGGAGCCGCACGAGTTGAGGCCCAGCGCGAAGTTGTGGCCCGTGAAGGCCGCGAACTCGTCCTCGACCTGCGACACCTCGCTCTCCTCCTTGGACGCCACGTTATACCTGCGCGCGGCCGCCGCGTGACCGGAAGGGGCGGCGCGCCCCGCGCGGCGGCCGCGGCGCGCGCCGCGGCGCCCGGATCGTCGCCTCTTCGGACGCGGCGCCGCGCCGGAAGAGCCGGCCGCTCTCCATGCACCGCGCCGCCGCGGCCACGCCCGCCGCCGGCACCTGCGGAGGCAAGATTGATTGCCGTGGAACATTTCGCTTCAACCCCGACGCGACGGACGCCGAACGCGCACGGGATCGGGCATCTTGATGTTCTTCGTCAACGACCGCCCGACGCTGAGCGCAGCCACGGTCGGGAGGAGGCATAACGTCGCTAGCTGCATGATTCGCCCCGGAATGAACCCACGGGTGATATGCGACGACACGAGATCGCAGTCGTGTTCAATTGGTCGTGTTACGTGATTTGTTGAATTGTTGGCCAGCCGACACTGCGGAGACTGTCTTTCGTCCCCTGTTGTCGTTGAGAGTGCTCGTCGCCGGAAGCGCTGCCGGGACCATCGGGCAACCGGAGCCGCCCGGGCAGCGTCGGCCCGAGCGGCACCGCGTCGCGCGCCGCGAGCACAGGTCCCTGGACGAACCGGTGACCGGGAGTTCGAGGGCGCAGACTCGGAAACGCCCAGAAGCACCGCCTGGTTGGAACGACCGTTCGCGCGCGTAGGCGAGCCCTCCGCGCCGCCAGCGCGGTTGCCGCACCAAAACTCGCCCGGCTCCGAGTCGCCGCCGCGGAGTATGAGCGCCGGATTCCTCGGTAACTAAGAATACAGCCTGAGGGCAGTAATTACCAGTAATTCCTTTGAAATGGGAATTTCATTGGTAATTACTCAAGGTTGGGCAGGCCGACCTTGGCGCTGGCCGCGGCATCAGCTTCGTCGCCCCCAAACCACTCATTTGAGCATACGCGAGTCATGCAGTGACCTCTGATGGATCAAAACTGGTCGATAGAGCCAAAACTTGCGACTATTCTGTGAAATCGAGTGGTGTCCAGCTTATATGCAACGAAAATCAATGGACATGAGTAGTCCCATGGTGTCGTAATCCTCGGTAACTGATTTGGAGCAGCGGTAATTAATTACCTATGCATTACCGTCCTGAGTCACGGTATATTCTCGGTAATTTTAGCCGGCGGTCATACCGCGGAGAGCATTCGAGGCTCGGGTCCACCGAGGCGCCGGCGCGAGGCGGCCTTCGACCCGCGCGACCCGACGCGGTCCGCTCCACGCGCGCGCGCGCCGCGACGCAACCGAACGACGCGACGATGACGTGGGGCGGCCCCGACGAGAACCTGCTGCCGGACTGGGAGGCTTTCCAGACCGACGACCTCGAGTGGTACTACTACAACGCCAAGACCGAGGAGACGACGTGGGACAAGCCCGAGAAGCCCAAGCCCAAGCCCAAGCCCGCGCCCGTGCCCAAGGCCGCGCCCAAGACCGCGCCGCCCGCGCCCAAGCCCGCGGCCGCGCCCAAGCCCGCGGCCGCGCCCAAGCCCGCGGCGGCGGCGGCGGCGAAGCCCAAGCTCGGCGGCGGCCCGCCCGGCGGCGGCATGGCCGGCGGCCTGCTCGGCGCGATCCAGGCGGGCAAGACCCTCAAGAAGGCGCCGAAGGTGGAAGAAAAGCCCAAGCCCGCGCCGTCGAGCGGCGGCGGCGGCGGCGGCGGCGTCGCGGGGCAGCTGAACGCGATGATGGGCGGCGGCGGCGGCGGCGGCGGCGGCGGCGGCGGCGGCTTCAAGGAGATCATGCGCAAGAACCGCGAGGCCGCCGCGAAGCGCGGGTCGACGGCCGCGCCCGCGCCCGCGCCCAAGCCCGCGCCCGCGGCCGCGGCCGCGCCGTCCTGGAAAAAGCCCGAGCCCGCGCCCGCGCCGTCGCCCATCAAGGTCGCGCCCAAGGCCGCGTCGGGCGGCAGCGTCGAGGACCGGCTGGCCGCCATCGAGGCCAAGCTCGACAAGATCATGGCCAAGCTCGGGTGCTGAGCGGCGCGCGCGACGCGCGACTAACTCGCGGGCGGCCGGACTTAGTCGCCGTCGTCGTCGCCCCCGGCGGCGTCGCGGAGGGCGGCCTCCATCGCCGCGGCCGCGCGCGCGGACGCGAGGCGCTCCTCGTCGCTCAGGAACGACGCGAGCGGCGCGCCGTAGCGCCGGGACTTCTCCTCCGCGAGGGACGCGGCGAGCGGGTCGCGCTCCGCCGGCGGGACGACGCGCGGCGCTGGGGGATCCTCTTCCTCGTTTCGCAGTAGCGCCGCGGCGATCGCGCGCGACGACGCCCGGGCGTCGACGCCGAGCGCCGCCGCCGCGACGGCGACCGAGTGCGCCCAGCAGTTGTTCGTCACGAGGTGCAGGTCGCCGCGCCGCTCGAGCGCCGCGCGCTCCACGTCCGCGGGCTCGGCGGCGGCGTCGCCGAGCGCCAAGAGCCCGCGCGCGTCCGGCGCCGCCAACCGGCGGAATTCGCCCGGCGCGCTCCGCAGCGAGAGCAGCCGCGCGACCGTCGCCGGCGCGTCCGGGTCTCGCGGGATGAAATCGTAGCCATAGACGGCGTCGTCGATGCCGCTGTCGACGAAGACGGCGGAGTGGAGCTTTAGTGCCGGCGGCCCGCCGATGAGCGGCGTGATTCTCAAATAGACGCGGCGCGGCGCGGCGGCGTTTGCGGTCGCTAAAAGCAGCAGTGACGCGAGCATGCTCGTTGGGGTCAGCGGGAGGCTTGTCACCTAACGAGCTCGGCTCGAGCCACGCTCCTGCACATGCTGGCATGGTCAGTGCACGCAAAGGTTAACTCCCTTCAATAACTAGTCCAACGAGTCGTCTCGTCGATGGTGCGGCAGCCCGGGTGCCTATTGCCAGCCATGGAGCGCACGAATCGCAGCTGAGATGGCAGCCCATTGGCGCCGCGTCACGGGAAAACGCGGCGCGGTCGTGCGCGAAGGGCTGGCGCTCGACACGCCCGAGGTCGCCGTGCTGCCCTTGGGCACGCGCGTGCTCGTCGAGGAGCGGTCCATGAACGCGTCGGGCGTCGCGCGCTGCCGCCTCGGCGCGCCGGCCTCGGGCTACTGCAGCGCCAAGGCCCTGTCGCGCCCCTTGGAGGTCGCGCGCCGCGAGGCGCCGGAGGCCGCGGCGGCGGCGCCCGAGCGGCCGCCGCCGCCGACCAAGTTCGAGACGCGGCTCTTCGTCGAGGCGCAGCTGCAGACCCAAGCAGACGCGTGGCGCGAGCTCCACGGGACCGCCTGGTCCGCGGCCGACCGAGCGAAGACGTCGTCCATCCTCGACGCGCTCGCGGGGCTCCTCTTCAGAACGTCGGACCGCCTCGGCGACGTCGACTGGGAGGCCGTCGGCGGGCTCGCCGCGTCGGGCCGCGCGGCGCCCTGCGACGCGACCTTCGACGGCGACGGACGCCGCGAAGGCGCGCGGCTGCGGCGTCTTCGCGCGGCGCGGGCCCGGCGGCCGCGTCGAGCCGCTCGTCGCGGCCGTCCGCCGCCTCGCCGCGGCGGGCTGGCCGCCGGCCTTCCTCCTCGTCTTCGACGACGTCTGGACGCTCCTCGACGGCTGCTTCGCCGTCGCCGCCGAGCTTTTAGGCGGCGATGTCGTCCTCGAGAGCGACGTCAACTGCTGGGCGCTGCGGGCCGGCGCGCCGCGCGAAAACTACGTCGGCCGCGGCTTCTCGGCGCCGCACCGGGACCTCGCCTACGACCGCTGCCACGACGCGGACGGCGCGCCCCAGTCGCTGAGCCTCTGGGTGCCCCTCACGGCGGCGACGCGGGACAACGGCTGCATGCGCGTCGTCGCGAGGGGGGCCGCGGACGGGACGGCGCTCGTCGCCGGCGCGGGCGACGTCTGCTGCTGGGAGCCGTCCCTGCTCCACTGGGCCGGCGCCTGCGAGGCGGGCGAGGTGCCCCGCGTGTCCATCGGGGCGACGTTCCGGCGCGCGGACGCGCCGGCGTCGCGCTTCGGCGGGCCAAGCGCCGCGGACCCGTCTCGCGCGGGCCCGCCGCCGGCGTCGCGGGCGGCCGCGCGGGACCTGCCGCTCGCGACGCGGCTCAGCTACGTCGCCAAGGCCCTCGTCGCCTACGCGCACTGGTACCCGGGATTCCCGGGCTTCGACGCGTTACATCGATGTTGAGGTTCAACTTGAACCTCAAGCTCATGAGTCCGAGACCTATCGGCCGCGTGTGCTCTTGTGCATGCGGCTTCTCCGACGCTAAATCCCAAATAATAATAATAATAATGAGTCACTTGAGCCTCGGAAGAAAGGATGAACTGAAGATGGTGGACTGGGCAGCTACTTGCGGCCGGCGCCGACGAGTGCCAGGCCGTTGGGCAGCCCCGTGAAGCATCAAGCCATGGCGCCGACGTTGCACGAGTTTCTCACGGCCAACAAGAACTTCTTCGACCTCGCGTGCATTCGCCAGCTTCGTCGCGCTCTGGGCCCTCATCGCGCGGTACACGTAGGGCCCGCGCGCGCTTACGGGGACGTCTCCGCCTGGGCGGGCAGCACGCCGCCCTGGTCCAGGAGCCCGGCCGCGGGCGGCGCGGGGCTCGTCGACGCGCGCGCGCGCGCGGCGTTGGTCACGAGCATGCGCACGGCGATGTCGCGGACGTCCGGCGAGGAGAAGAGGCCCTCGAGGAGGCGCACGGCGTGGTCCTCGCGCCGGAGCGCGGCCTCGGAGCCCTCGGCCTCGGCCTCGATGTCCTTGAGGAGCACGCCCATGCGGAGGAGCCGCTGCCGCGCGATGAGGACCATGATCTTCTTCAGCTCCGGGAAGAGGGCCGCGAGGCGCCCAAAGTCCGCCGTCGAGATGGTCCAGAGCTCGCAGGGCTCCAGCGCCGCCGCCGTGAAGGGCTGGAGCGCGACGCCGTCGAAGATGAGCGGGATCTCCCCGAAGTAGGACCCGGCCTCCATGGACGCGACGTGCGCCTCGTCGCGGTAGAGCTGCACGGCCCCGGCGTCGATGAAGTAGAAGCCCGCCGGCGGCTCGTCGCGGTTGATGATCGTCTCCGCCTCGAGCACCTTGAGCGGCCGCAACAGGGGCACGACGGCGATGGCGATCGCGCCGCGGACGAGCGTGCCGTTGAGCAGCGGCGACGACTCGACGAGCCGCGACACCAGATACAAATTGACCTCGCGCCGGAGCTGGGGGCTCAGCTGCCCCAGGATCTGGTCCTCGTCGAGCACGCTGTGGCTCTGCCCCCCCGTGCCGAGCCGCGCCTGGCCCCGCCGGAGCCCGCGCGCGTGCTTCGCGTCCAGGTGCCTCCGGATCCGCGTCCGGAGCTCCGCGGGGATGTAGTTCTTGTCCATGTAGTCGTTCGTCTCCGCGAAGAGCACCTCGTACTTGGCCGACGGCGAGTCCAGACTCATCATGAAGGCCGTCAGCGAGCCGATGATGCCCGCGAAGAGCGCGGCGCCCAAAAGCATCGACAGCGTCGTCAGCACGACCTCCACCGTGCTCAGGGGCATGGCGACGCCGTAGCCGATGCAGAGCATGTGGGAGTAGGCCTTGAAGACGGCGTAGAGGTACTGGACGGACTTGGGCCGGTGCTGCAGGCCCAGGAACCCGACCCAGGTGCGATCCGCGTCGAAGTCCTTCAGACGCGCGGACAGGTAGAGCAGGCACGCGTCCCAGTGCGCGAAGAGCAATATGGAAAACCCCAGCGCCAGGATGCGCACGTGGCCCTCGTGGAGGCCGCTCAGGTAGAAGTGCGAATACCGGAAAAAACGCGCGACGCGCGCGAGCCGCAGGAGCCGCGACAGCCGCGCGATGCGGCCGATGCGCGTCGCCGAGTAGACGAGCGACTGGTTGTCGCCGCTCGAGTTATCGTTCGTCGCCGCCGCCGCGAAGGCCTGGACGACGTCTAATGGCAGCGTCGCCACCAGATCCGCGGCGAAGCCGCTCCGGAGGTAGCGCGCGCGGATCCTGGCCGCGTCCATGACGACGACGCCGTCCTCGATGAAGCCCGTCTTGAACGCGACGTAGATGTCCGCGATGAAGAAGCCGTCGATAATCAGATCAAAAAGGAACTTGAAGGTCCAGACGTTGAAGCCCGGGAAGAAGGCCAGCTCCACGGGGAGCTCGATGGCGCAGTAGAGCGTCGCGATGAGGACGAGGAAGATCCACTTCATCCTAAAATTGGAATTCGGGTGCGTCCAGGGCAGCTGCTCCGCCGCCTCGTGGTTCGCGTTCACGGCCGTGCCCCAGAGCTTGCGCGCGAGGCCGTGGCGCAGGGACCGGTCCCGGAGCAGGCCCCGCGGCGTGAGCCAGCCGCTCGTCGGAGCGGGCCGCTCGTCGTCGCCGTCTTCTTCTTTCGCCTTGCCGTGGTGGTCGTAGGCGACGTCGTTGCTCCGCGACCGCGCGAGGATCGGCGGCACGGTGCCGCCGCTGCCGCTCCGGAGCCGCTCCGGCGCGAAGCGCGCGGTCTTCTCCGCGGGCGCGGGCCCGTCGAACTCGCCGGACTCGCACTTGAGCTGGTTGATGGCGTCGGCGACGGTCCGGCGCCGCGCCGCGGCGCTCGAGCTCGCGCTTCGCGAGCCGCCCAGCGACGACGCGGGCGACGCCGCGCCGCTCGCGGGCTCCACGCGCAGGAGCTCCGAGACCGCGCCGTGCAGGTGCATCTCGATCTCGTCCGGCGACAGGATCGGCGAGCCGCGCTCCTTGGAGTGGCGCGGCGACTGCATGCCGTGGAGCCGGCTCGCCTGCTTCTTGAGGAACGTCGCGATCTCCGCGTCCTCGTCGCGGGGCTCCTCCTCGCTCACGGCCGACAGGCCGCCCACGTAGCGGCTCGGGCTGCCCCGCCCGGGCGACGACGAGCCCCCGCGCGCCGGCGACCTGTCGCCGTCGGCCTGCGCCGGGGCCAGCTCCACGGCGAGCGGCACCTTCGCCTCGTCGTCGCCGTCCGGCGCCATGGTCGACGACCTCCAGGGGTGGTGTGGGAGACCTCGTCACAGAGGGCTGGGTGTAAAATTGAGAAGGGGGTGTTTCCCTGCAACTTACTTGATCAACTAGCATCGCAGCGGACGCTGCCCGCCGTGTGCGCGCAGCTCGTCGAGGCCGCCGCGGCCGCGCCCCGGGACACGCGCGCGGCCGGGCGCGGCGTCGCAAACGGGTCGCGGCCCAGCGGCGCTGAGCGGCCATGCTCTCGCGGCTGCTCCCGTCGCGGGACCAGGTGCAGATCCGCATGATGGGGACCAAGGTCCTCGTGAACAAGATGCACGGGAGCATGAACCCGAACGGGCGCGAGATGATCATCGACGGCTGCGACTCGATCACGCGGCGCGTCAAGTGGCAGCTGCTGCGCGAGTCCCACATCAAGATCCTGCACGAGACGTCGGCGATCGAGCTGCTCCTCGACATCCTCAAGCTCTGGATGGAGGACATCCCCGTCGCGCTCTGCGCCGTGCGGGCCACGGGGCGCATCGTCAAGACGGGCAAGGAGGCGGACCGCGTCCTCGAGCTCGGCGGCCTCCTCCTCGCGGAGCAGTGCAAGAACCTGCACCCCGACGACCCGGACATGGGCAAGGCCGCCAAGGACCTCATGCGCACGCTGACGCTGCGGAGCGGGTCCCTCGCGCAGAAGGAGATCCGCGTCTGCCGCTTCTGCGCCATGAACAACGTCGACCTCGACGGCGCGAAGGAGCTCGCGCGGCTCGTGAACTCCGAGAAGCTCTCGGGCGAGACGAAGGTGAACCTCGTGAAGAAGAAGCCCGGCGCCAAGGTCGACATCGCGACGCTCGTGCGCAAGGTGCTCAACCACATGCGGGCCCACGTCAACGACCGGCGCGTGCAGGACGCGGGCCTCGAGGCGCTCATGGAGCTCAGCAACGGCCACGACGACAACGGCGCGCTGCTCAAGGGCAACGCGGCGGAGATCGTCGTCGAGGCCATGTCGTCCCAGCCCGACTCCTACGCCGTCCAGTGGAAGGGCTGCGCCGTCGTCCAGTACATGGCGACGCGCCTCGCGCTCTCCGCGGAGCTCGGCAAGTACGGCGTCGTCGCGGAGCTCAAGCGCGTCTACGACGACTACGAGAGCGACCGCGAGGTGCGCCAGCAGGCCGTCTGGGCCCTGGGGGCCATCAGCAACGTGCCCGACAACGTGCTGCGCATGCAGGAGAAGAAGGTCTACGCGTGCGTCTCCGACCTGTTGGCGAAGATCGAGGACAAGAGCATCCTGCCCGAGGACAAGGTCGCGCTGCCCATCAGCCTCCGCGCGGTCTGGAGCGACGAGCAGCTCGGCAACTTCATGCTCGCCGCCGTCGAGCAGCAGGCCGCGGAGGAGAAGGCGAAGATCGCCGAGGCGAACAAGTACAGCTCCTACAAGAGCGCGTTCCCGCGGAGCAAGCGCGGCAAGTACAGCCGCGTCTCCGACGAGTTCACCAAGGGCGTCCCGGGCCTCGTCGACTAATACTTATAGAAGTAGGCCGAGCTCGCCCGGGCGAGCGCGGGGCCGGAGCGGCCCTCGGCGATCTCGAGGACGGCCTCGACCGCGCTCCGCCGCCGCTTCTTCGCCCGCCGCTTCTTCGACGTCGTCGCGCCGCTCGCGACGCTCAGGTTCGGGTCGAAGTAGACGTGCTTCTTCGCCCGCTTCGGCGACGCGCGGAGCGAGTCGAGCGCCTCGCCGCGGAAGCGGTCGAGGAGCGCCGCGAAGCCGCCGTCGTCGGCCGGCGGGCTCGGCGGCGGCGGCGCGGGCGCCCGGGGCTTGGGCACGTGGAGCGCCGGGTCCACGCGGTCCTGCGTCAGCGGGAAGCGCCGGAAGAGGTCCGCGTCGGGCTGCGGCGGCGCCGCGGCGTCGG